CTGAAACCACATCAAAAGTTCTGAAAAGACAGATAGACAGAAGAAGTTACCAAAGAGACAAGTAGAAGTCAAGAGAGATGTAGATGGAGGAATTTACCAAAGGGACAAGTAGAAGTCAGAGAGAGTAATCCATAGGTTCATTTAAGATGATAATACATTTCTCATTGGCGAATAAAAGGAGAATAAAGAATTAAGAAGGATGGTGTATTCAATATTAAATATTACAAAAAGGGTAAGGAGCATGAGGATTAATGAGAAGCTACTAAATATGGATACCAGTAACTCTCTGATCATTAAGATCAACAGAGATGGGTCAGTGAGATAATTAAAAGATCACTTTCTTAGTATGTTTTAAGCATCTAAGGTATACATTCATCAGTATATATTCATTATATATGATGAATATATATATTCATACTTCCATTCATCAGTGTGCTGTGGCATTTGATTAACTTTACTGTGCCATTTCTATTTGAAAGGACACTAAGCTGTTCCAAGCTCAAGCATAAAAGACAAACATTAAAAGACTGCCATTTGTTGTTTTTTTTTAAATTCAACTAACAAACAATGAATCACTCTAAATTAAACTTATATGATGTAGCAAGAGCAGTTCTTAGAGGGATATTCATGGCAATAAATGCCTATCTTAATAAAAAAGAAGTCTCAAGCAACTTCATTTCACACCTCAAGGAACTAGAAAAAGAAGAACAAATGAAGCCCAAATTTAGTAGAAGAAAGAAAAAAAAAATAGAGCACAGATAAAGGAAACAGAGGCTAAAAAAATAAAACTATAGGAAAGGTGAATGAAACTAATAGCTGATTCTTTGAAAAGACAAACTAAATTAACAAACCTTTACCTAAACTCACCTCCCAAAAAAAGAGACAGAGAAAACACAAATAAATAAGATCAGAAATGAAATAGGGAATGTTACAATTGATATCACAGAAATAAAAAAGGATCACAAGAGACTACTATGAACAACACCAACAACTGGATAATCTAAAATAAATAAATAAATTCCTAGAAATGTACAAAGCCCCAAGACTGAATAATGAAGAAACAGAAAATCTGAACAGACCAATTATTAGTAAGGAGGTTGAATTAATATTCAAAAACCTCCCAACAAAAAATATCCAGGACCAGACAGCTTCACAGTGAATTCTACCAAACACTCCATGGAGAATTTATATCAATCCTTCTAAAACTCCTCCAAAATTAGAAGAGGAAGAAACTCTTCCAAACTCATTTTACAAAGCCAGCATAACCCTGACACTAAACCAGACAAGAATGACACTAGAAAATTACAGATCTATATCACTGATAAACATAGATACAAAAATCCTCAACAAAATATTAGCAAACCAAACTCAGTAATACATTAAAAGGATTACATGCCACAACTGAGTGGGATTTATCCCAGGCATTCAAGGATGGTTCAACATCTACAAATTAGTCTATGTGATACACCATACATCAACAAAATGTACGGATAAAAACTGGATGATCATCTCAATAGATGCAGAAAAGCATCTGACAAAATTCAACATCCACTTATGATAATAACTCTCAACAAAGTGGATATAAAGGGATCATACCTCAATGTAATAACATATACGACAATACAGAGCTAACATCATATGCAATGGTAGAAAGCTGTAAAGCTTTTCCTATAAGACTAGGAACAAGACAAGGATGCCCACTCTTTCCACTTTTAATCAACACAGTGTTAAAATTACTAACCAAAGTAATTAGACAATAAAATAAGTAAAAGTCATCCAAATTAGAAAGGAAGATATAAAACTGTCACTATTTTCAGAGGCTGTTATTGTTGTCCGGTTGCTAGGTCATGTCTGACTCTTTGCAACCCCATGGACGGTAGCACGCCTGGCTCCTCTGTCCTCCACTATCTCCCAGAGTTGGGCTCAAATTTATGCCCACTGAATCAGGGATGCAACCATACATCAACAAAATGTACGGATAAAAACTGGATGATCATCTCAATAGATGCAGAAAAGCATCTGACAAAATTCAACATCCACTTATGATAATAACTCTCAACAAAGTGGATATAGAGGGATCATACCTCAATGTAATAACATATATGACAAGTACAGAGCTAACATCATATGCAACGGTAGAAAGCTGTAAAGCTTTTCTTGTAAGACTAGGAACAAGACAAGGATGCCCACTCTTTCCACTTTTAATCAGCACAGTGTTAAAATTACTAACCAAAGTAATTAGGCAATAAAATAAGTAAAAGTCATCCAAATTAGAAAGGAAGATATAAAACTGTCACTATTTTCAGAGGCTGTTATTGTTGTCCAGTTGCTAGGTCATGTCTGACTCTTTGCAACCCCATGGACGGTAGCACGCCTGGCTCCTCTGTCCTCCACTATCTCCCAGAGTTGGGCTCAAATTTATGCCCACTGAATCAGGGATGCCAGCTAACCACCTCATCCTCTGCTGCTCCCTTCTCCTTTTGCCTTCAATGCCAAGGACATGATATTATATTTAGAAAACCCTGAAGACTCTATACAAAAACATTAGAACTAATAAATGAATTCAGCAAGATAACAGGATACAAGATTAATATACAGAAATCTGTGCATTTCTTCACAGTAACAATGAAATATCAGAAAGAGAAAGTAAAAAAAAAATCTCATTTAAAAATCACTTTAAACAAAAAATCTATGAATAAACCTAACCAGGGTGGTGGAAAGAACTATACAATGAGAACTTAAAAAACACTGAAAAAGGAAATTGAAGACGATACAAAGAAATGGCAAGATAATCCATGCTCTTGGAGTGGAAGAATTAATATTGTTAAAATGAATATACAATGCAAAGCAATCTGCAGATTCAACGTGATCCCTTGCAAATTGTCCATGACATTTTTTTTTTAACAGAGTTAGAACATATAATGCAAAAATATACATAGAATCACAATAAAAAGACCCAGAACTGCCAAAGCAACCCTGAGGAAAAAGAGCAATGCTTGAGGAATAACCCTCCCAGACTTCAGATCATACTACAAAGCCACAGTAATCAAAATGGCATGGGATTAGCACAAAAACAGATACACAGAGCAATGGAACAGAACAGACAGCCCAGAAATAAACCCACACACCTATGGTCAATTAATCTTCAACAAAAGAGGCAAGAACATACAATGGAGAAAAGATAGTCTCTTCAGTAAGTGGTATTACAAAAGCTAGACAGATGCATGTAAATCAATGAAGTTAGAGACTCCCTCATACCATACACAAAAATCAACTCAAAAAAGCTTAAAGGTTTAAATATAAGACAAAAAACCACAGAACTCCTACAAGAGAACACAGGCAAACATTCTCAGACATAAATCACAATGATATTTTCTTAGCTCAAACTCCCAGGGCAATAGAAATAAAAGCAAAAATAAACAAGTGGAACCTAATCAAATTTATAAGCCTATGCACAGCAAAGGAAACCATAAACAAAACAAGAAGACAACCTAT